GTGGTGAACAAAAACTATGTTTCACTAAATCAATTGTAAAATCTTCCGTATCTTTCTTCAACATTAATGATATTTAATATTTTATATACCATTTGATGTTAGCAACCAATAACTCCATCATCGACATACCTTTTCAACTATTTATGAGATTAACGTAATCGAAATTAGCTCCATATGCAAAAAAATCGTAATATTTGCGAAAAAAATATTTCATGACAATTATGGCTATTAAAGATTACAGAAATACATACACAATCGGCAAAAATATTCTCATTAAGAAATTGATTTTTCCTATAAACATTTAGAAAAACCAAAACCTAATTTACTCTAAACTATACCCCCTTCCATATATATACGTCGAACTTTGGTATGCTTTTTATTCATTTGTGTACTGTTTTTTATTTTTTCGTTTGTTGCGTTTTTTTGTATCCGTAGTATTTCATATTTGATCAATTCTAAATTATTTTTTTGCTTTTGTTTTTGTAGGTATTTTTCAATGCACATTTTTTTGGTATGTTTTGTACATGAAGTTTTGTTCTTCAACAAGGTATATTTGTTAATTTTCTTTTCTCGTTTCTTTTGTTAAAGAATCTCATTTTCTCTACTATCTTGGTTTTCATTATTTTTGTTTGGATAGATTTAGATATATAAATATTTTATTTTCTCTGATATTGATGGTTACAAATGCTTTTGTAATTTGATCAAATTGAAAATCGAACATGTGAGATTTAGTTTTAGGGATTGACCAACACAGAATCCGGTGATAGAGAACTTTATCGTAAAATTATCTTAGTCTTGGGATCTTGCGATGGATTGGTCTTAATTAGAGCATTTACAAGATTTCTATGATACAAAAAATTACGGTTTCGAGTACATTTACTTGACTAATCCAAAGATAATGGAACAAGAAACTTCCGTAGATTTGGATGTAACAGTATAGGCGCAAAGGAGTTATGATTATGTTAGTTTTGATAGCATCTCTATAATTCACTAATTCATTAATGATTAAATTTATTGGCTTTTGATTC